TCTCTTTTGTTCAGCTAAGGATTCTGTTCAGCTAAAGATCATGCAGTCATGAGATATTTCGGGATGTTAAGGGCCATGCAGTCATGATGTACTTTGATAAGTCATGCAATTATGAGATATTTTAAGATGAATATAATGCATTCATGAGATTGTTCAGTGAAAAATCATACAGTAATGAGATACTCGAGATAAAAATCTAAAATTACTGCCATGAGATACTTCGATAACTCAAATATTCACTCATACATTCATGAGAATCTAAAAGCTATATTCATAAAAATGCCATGAAACAATTTGACATATCCAAAGCTGACTAATGACAATCATAATTTAAGAACTGTAACTTTACCTGCATGTGACTTATTTATTATTTATTTATCTATTTATTTTTTATTTATCTATCTATCATTATTATTAATTATTATCATTATTATTAATTATTATATTATTTATTATTATTATTATTATTATTATTATTATTATATTATTATTATTATTATTATTATATTATTATCATTATTATTATTATCATTATCATTATTGTTATTTTAGTTATTTAAGAAGCTGTTCTTCATCTTTTCACAGCATTTATGGATGATAAAAATGTGTTTATGAAAGTACTAGAACAAAGTGTTATATTTAGGATCATGAGACAGAAAAATGCGGGTGTATATAGTGTGATGATCCCGTTTTCTTTATTCATAATCACATACATTCAGATGAATTAAATATAAAGACATATAATATATATATATATATATATAATATATATATATATATATATATATATATATATATATATATATATATATATATATATATATATATATATATACATAATCGAGAGAGAGAGAGAGAGAGAGAGGAGAGAGAGAGAGAGAGAGAGAGAGAGAGAGAGAGAGAGAGAGAGAGAGAAGAGAGAAAGAGAGAGAGAGAGAGAGAGAGAGAGAGAGAGAGAGAGAGAGAGAGAGAGAGAGAATACAGACAAAGAGCAAAACATAAGAGTCAATAAGTGAATGTGCCAATATATAACCTGACCGTTTCCATGATAAATAGTATTAGTATTCAAGAAATGACGTCGAGGAAGAATAACATCTATCAATAAGCAATGGCAGAGTGAATCACTACAAAGGAAATATTTCTATAAACATGAACGAACAAAATATCAGAAATCGAAGAACAGAGAAGAGGAAAGACACACGAAGAACACCGTCTGACGTCACAGGGAGGGTTGGTATTCGAGGGAGACTGTGCAACACGGAATGCATATTCACTAGATAAAAGCATGTCCGGGATGCACTAAAAGTATATCTGGACACGTGGTTAATAGTGTGATAGCTTATTGTGATAACTTATATTGTAGTTGAGGATATATCTATGTGTGGCACATAATGTATCTGACAAATTATTGACCATAAAGGATAAAATAGATGTTATGTAGATGATAGTCCGATCTGATAATATACCGGTTAATGTTGGCAATATAAGACACTATATCAGACAGTGTAGCTTCTAATACAGAAGACAAAGGACCGATAATGTAGTTGATAATGAAGATGACAATGTATTGATAGGATATAGCTCATAATGGAAATGACCATATACTGACAATGTAGCTTCTAATGTAGATGCCAATATACTGACAATATATAGTTCACAATGAAAATTACCATATACGGACAACGTATCTTCGAATATAGACAACAAAGTACAGATGATATAGTTTACAATGAATATATACTGACAATATAGCTTCTAACATAGATGACAAAGCACTGATGAGAGTTTACATTGAAGATGAAAACGTAGCTTCTAATATAGATAACACATGTACTGATAATATAGTACACAATGACCCGTGATCACTATCATTATCCTTGACAACTCACCCACTTCATGACGAGGCTCTATTCCGTAGTATGAGTCCCACACGCAAGCAAGCAGCAAGCAATGAACTAACAGAGCCTTGAACCTCAGCTTATATAACTACGAGAAGAACAGTCAAGGCAGGGCACTTTCGTAATCTTTTTTCTCGTCTTAAAACTAACTTCGTAGGGACCACGGTAGCGTCTTGGGTTTTCCAGGCAATAGGGTGCTGCGTAAAACCATTCTTGAAGGTACGATGATGTGTCTCTTTTATAGCATCATAGAATGCGGTTTTAGTTGATGATGTCTTAAGTTGGTGTTTCCATAGCCTGTTTACGAGTTGTTAGATTAACTGGATTGGTTTGTTTGATACCTGTTTGTTATATGATATCTGGCGAGGATGTGATGTCGTGTACAGAACACACACACACACATGAATCTTGTAAAAAAAAGAAAGAAAGAAGAAGAAGAAGAAAAAAAAACATACGACCACACCCACACGCCTACACACATACATAGAAAGTAACACAACACACACAAACACAGACACAAAACCTCTAACAGACAAACACAACAAACAAACCTCTACAAAACACATTCCCTCGCCGTACCACTAACACGACCCACCCACAAA